TTTGTTTTATGGGGGTTTTGGGGGGGGGGGGGGGGGGGGGGGTGTGTGTGGAGGGGTGAGGAGGCGGAGGATGGGGTGGGGAGGGGGGGATGGGGTGGGAAGGGGAGGATGGGGTGAGGAGCAGCACGCTGCGGGGGCGGGGTATGGAAAGGATGGGGGGATTATCAGGGAAGACGTGGCATTGAGGGGCGGGAGGTGAAGGTGCGGAATGCATTGGTTGGTCGGAGTGAAAATCGGAAGAAATGAAGAGGGCCGTTGCGATAAGTGAAAGCCCAATGACGGAGGGGGCGATAAACTAAAAGTAGGAATGATTTGTGATTATTTCTGCATGTCCGGTAAGCGGCGGCCCGGTGTCGCGAGCTCGCGCGGTCGCCGTTCTGTTCCAAGAAATGCATCGCCAGTTTTCATCACCACGGCCATTCCCTATCGGCCCCGATCGGGTCCTCATTACAGCTCCCCCTGTACCCACCCACTGTAATCAGCACCTTTCTACCAAGCGCCAAGTGTCCGTCCCCCGTTCGCGCGTCACGCCGCCGTCGCTGCGCTTCCACCTACCCACTTGTCGCCCTCCCACCGCCCATTCCACAAGCCCGCCGTCTCCGCCCGTCACTCCCGCCAACCCAGCCAAACCCAACACCCCGCCGCCCCCCGTACCCCCTCCCCGAGCACCCTAACGACCCCTCTCTACCGTTATCTATGCTCTGCCTCGACTTCACGCCGTCCCTCCCTCACCATCTTCCACACCCCAACCCCCATAATCATTTATCACCTTTCAACAGCCCTCCCGCCCGCCCTCCCTACTCACACGCTTACTTCATTCCCCCCCTACGCCCCTCCCTGCCCCGACATTCCTCCACTCCCTCCCCACAGCCATGGGCCTCACCGCAATTACCGCGGCTGCTGCCCAACTTGCCGCCGTGTCCGCAGAACACCGCCAAACGACCACGCCCCACGCGACCTCCTCCCCTTCTTCGCGCACCCGCCCTCGCTCCCGCTCCCGCTCTAGCTCGCTGCTCAGCGACTCGACCGACCCAGACCCCGACGACTGGGAGAGCGACGACGCCTCCCTCCCCTCCCCAACTATCAAGACCCGTCCCGCTCCTCATCACCCACAAAGCCCTGCCAAGAAGCGTCGCGCAGTGTCGCCCACTCCAACCAAGAAGACCTCCCCGCTCACTTCCGTCTCCCCGTCGTCGTCCATGACAGCCGTCCCTGCTGAAGAAGCTGTCCAAGGGAACAGCGCAACGCCCACCTCACAAGAGCACGCAGACACCTTCCCAGCAGAGATGTTGCTCGACTTAGCCGGCAGCACCAGTGCTGAAGTTCGTCGCATGAACGAGGACGAGCGCGCCTTGGTTCATTACAAGCGACGACTGCGCAACAGGGAGAGCGCCAAGCGCAGTCGCGCGCGTCGTCAGGCCACCATTCATGACATTCAGGGGGAGCTCGAGGACCTTAGGGACGTGACCGCTAAACTGCTCGACAGATGCGTGTCGTTTGCAAGGGTCAATGACACCCAGGGTCGTGAACTCGAGACGCTCAGGAAGGAGAAGCACTTGCTGGAAAGTATGCTTAGGGAGGGCGGTGGTGCCGGCTTGTGACCATAGTGCGGCCTTCGCGAAGTTGGCGCGACCTTACTTATTGCCGTTGTTCCGTAGTTTCGGGTTTTATGTCAATCGTCAATGTATTTCTCGTGACGGTTTCTTTTCTCTCTTCCTCGCTCTCTGGGATTTGTGCTAGCATGGGATACTCATGTCTGTACTATCGTCTATGTTCTTTCTTGTTAATGTGATGACCTTTTCGTACATACTAAACAGTTTATCTTTCAATTTCTATTGTACCAGCCACCAGCGCTCATCTCAAGGCGACAGCAGTGTAGAGCCAAGCCCAACTCTCAACCCTGCCCTTTCCTAGCTCCAAACACAGAATACGCCTCTTGGCTCAGACCGAGAGAGGCATAGGCCGGGAGGCGGAGAGACGCATCTCCCGTTACATATTACACGTGTACCCCACATCGTCCACCATAGCTCACTCCGCTGCGCCCACCGCCGGCGTCCCTTGCAAGGTCAGGTCACGCCGCCGTGAAACCTGGTCCCTTGGCGCATGCGCCGCTTTCCTCATGCGCTCCGCGCCATCTATTGTGCCCACTATGCGCCTTCCTCGTCCAATCACGACCATCCGCTAGGCCCTATTCGAGCACGCCCATCCGGACGTTGCCCAAGGCTCCACATTTGGCCCATGTTTTTTTTCTTTTTTGTGTGTGCAAGACTACATACTGTACGGCTTTCATCCACTCTTTCAGGGTTCTCTTCCTCACAAATTCGCAAGGGCCCCGGTTCCCCACGTCCTTTCCTTGTGTGACAAGTGTTCTAATCATGTAACGAATATCTCGTTATGTTGCGGGTGGAAGCATACGACACTGTCACACACACCAATCAAAACCACGCATTTGCTTCCTACTCTTTCATCTGAAGCCTTTCTGCACACGTGTGACTCGTGTAGCATATAACTGCGCACCAGCGCGACGTGCGCTACACTTGTCAGACGACCGACGTACACCGACGAACATGACTCATCTTAGATGAGTCCAAAGGGGGTCGAGGAAGGGCCTTAGGGAGCACAGTTTACAAATAGCAATTACAAATAGCAATATCTTACGCAAGATGAGCGCCAGAGCTACGGAGGCCTGTATGTAGTACTTTACAGGTAAGGACTGATTCACAGTACACGATCCCCACTCCCAAGTGTCCCGGACCCTGGCTCATTCATCGGACGTCGAGCTTCTACTGTGGCATTAGCATTGTTAGATAATTTGAACAGCTTCAATATCCGGAGATCTGCACACCGCGGGCCCATACAGCAAGGATGAGTTGGACCTGGATACAAAATGGGGCTTTTCAAATGACATAGGAAAGCATGGACACCGGAGATGTATGAAGATTAGACGAGTACATATAGTGTAAGCAATAGGTGCTTATTACAGTGCTCTCCAGCAATTTTGGCGGCGCAATGACCACCGGGTAACCCACTCAGACATCTTCTTTCGCTCAGCAGTTTGCTTGCCCTGGCCCCGGAAGCCCCGTCTTGACCCCACAACAAGGTTGCGCAACTGCAGGTAACAGTGCTTTAAAAAGCACTGCGCAAGCAGTACAGTAGTAGTACCTTGAATAAGGTGCTTGTCCGGTCGAGTTGGAGCAAGAATACGTGTAAGAAAAGGCTTCAAGGGGGCCCCCGGTCCAATCCCGTCTTGCCCCGCTTGCAAAGAGCTGCATCCAAAAAATCCAAGGCCTGCCAGAGGCATGTCTATTACGGGGTTGTCCATTTGAAACACCCCGACTGCCGCGTTTTCCCTCTGCAGCACCTTGTCGTGGGCATTAGCGGCTCTCGCCCTTTGTTCTTTTGCAACTGCGATATGAAATGTTCGGTATGGACCATTGTCTGGGCCCGTCATGGGACTCATCAGCCGAGCCCTGCTTCCTTGCTGACCTTCAATACACCTGACGAGACCGCCTGCCCCGGTATCCTTCTTTGTCTGTCTGTCCTCCCACTTTGTCATCATTTTGTCCACAGAACAGCGCGTGTGTTTACCTCAAGTGAAAGAAGTTACATATCTTACCAGATCACGAGTCCTTTCCCGGCCGGCGAGTGCCTTGTTGCCACATGTCGCCGTGATATGAATCTGTCGCTCAATTGCATCCCTCTCCTGTCCATACACGCCCTGTAGCCGTCTTTGCATTCTATTTACTCCCAGAATTTATCTGCTTGCCTCAACCATTCACACCCTACCGCTACCGCTCGTGTGAGGAACAGCTTTTCTCCTCTTGTCGTCCCTCTGGTGTTAAGGCCTAAGAGGTTTATTCACACTTTCGTTTAGTTGTCGTTTTACTGTACACCCTCTTCAGCTGCCGCCTCTGACCGAAACCTTTAGTTTCCACGGCTTTCCTCGTACCGAGTGCAAGTGTATAGCTCTAACACCGCGTCTCTAGCAAGCTAAACATAACTTTACCCCTCACAACCTCCTTCGTATCCCCTCAAAAACGTCCCTCATGCATGTGCTACCTTCGCGACGGAAGACGCGGGCAATCGCGCACTGGCGTCGCCACGTTTAAAGGACAAGTCAAATTAACACGCCTTGTACGCTATCTAACTCATCTGCATTCTCAAGAAACAAATCAATAACACGTACTTGGTCTGCACTTCACCGTACAAATATTTCCATGTCACTCGCATACTTTCCACATTTTTTATCACTCTTCTTCGCTGCACCAAGCTGTTCTTCGAAATATGTCGAATCACACTCTTCAAGAGCCCCGTCAATGGGTGCTGCCTTGAATACAACATGTTTGAAGCAGTTTGAAATAGTTATCTAACCGAAAACAAGCCTATTTCAGCAGTTCGTGCAGCTGCTCACTCTCTGGGGGGGCCAAGTCATGATAAATGAAAATGATTGACGTCATCCGTACGGTTGACGGGAAACGCAATAAACTCTTCTGTAACAACAATAACAACAAACTGGTAGATTTGACGCGCAAGTCTCTCCTCCTTGACGTCGGCACAGAACTGTACAAGCACCTACATTAAAACATTAACTTATCATCGCAAGTAAGATTGTAAAACAATCTTTCTCAGGCGACCACAACTACCTCAAATTACGTCGCAAAATCACGGGCTTGACTCAAGACAGAAAACATGAGAACTTCTAATAATCAACGAAGAGAAGACAAAACGGGAGCTGAGGCGTAGCCGATGGGATATGGTCGAAATAGCAGGAAACAGAAAAAAGGTAGATGGGATCAGGGTGGGAAATGGGGATAGATTAAAAGCAAATCATAGCGAGCAGTATGTTCGCAGTGCAATGGATAGGACCATTGCAAAGAATAACTGTCACAAGCCAGAAAATAGCTGATTCCCACGTGCTTCACTAGAAGCTATTGCCTCGAATGAGGGGTCCATCGATTCACCTGCACTTGCAATGTTGTTCACATGTGGCAACTCTACGCTCTGCTGATTGTTCTCGCTTGGTGCGTCCTGTCCTCCACTGCAAATCGCATCATGATCAGGTGTCGCTGGAACGCAGCTCTTGCATCGATCGCAATGAAAAGTGAGACCTGGCATACATACGTTGCACTTGTTGCAATGGCGCAAATCATATCCTGGCGTGTCATCCGTAATGCCACACACGTCGCAGTAGTACGAACCGAAGCATTCGTTGCAGTTCCGGCAGTTCTGGGTCTTCGGCTGCACTTCTCCACACATCATACACAGCATAGTTCGGACTGGTTCGATGCGAACGTCGTGAATGCGGTTGCGGTCTTGTATATGACACATTCGACAAACAGGAAACGTACCGCAACAAACCATCAAGATGCGATTCTTCCGGGTGAAGTGCTTGCAACCGTAGACTTTCGTTCTTGGAACAAACTGGCGGCTGTATGATTCCTGGACAAGCTTCTTACAAGCTGTTGTGACCCGTTCAACCCACCGACTGTTAAGCAACTTAGGCGTAAATCCCTTAGCCACTTCGTCTGCCCGCATCTCCACGATGGCCTGCTTAATCATGTCAATCTCGACGATGTCACTGTCAGACTCGAAATCTGGGCTCTCTGCGCTAGGGCCAGAGGCAGAAGGACTGTCAGGTGCTGGAGCTCCGTCGCCCATGGTGCAGAGACGAGCGCGAGCGATTGAACGAATCTCGTCGTAGCTGAGCTTCGGATTCTCACGGCCGCAGTTGTGAATATGACGAAGTCGCGAGAGTTCCTTCTCAGACTTTTTCCTGTTTTCCAAGACCTCCTTGAAGAGATCTTGCGTAGCTCGCGCCTCGAGTGAAAGTAAAATACGCTCAGCAATCATGCGAACGGTCTTCTTAGCAGCGGATATGTTGTTCGCCTTTGGGCGGCCTTTACCTTGTTGCTTGTTAACACGAACAAACTGCTCCTTGTATATTTCTGAGATCTGGTCGGCGAGTTTTGAGCGTTCTGCCTTCCGCTGGTCGAGATTGTCAAAAGTGAGACAGAGAATATCCCAACCGGAATGACCGGCGCGAGCTTCCGCAAACTGTCGCATACCGCCGAATGGATGGGTATATTTACCAGCGCGACGCTTCTCAACGCCGCCCTGAAGCGATGGGCGGGTTGCCGGCGGTGACTGGGTAGGATTGGCCACCAGACCAGAAGGGACCGGTCCAGTACGTGATGGCACGTTCGCGGCGGGCGCCGCGCCTGTCATTTGGGGTCGAGCGACGATAGCGGATGTGTAAAGAAAACGGGTAACGACCGAAGTGAAAGACACGAAGAACCGAAGAACCAGGTGCAGCGTAACGGGCGGTTTGGCCGAAGAAAATAGGAGACAATATGTTCGGGAAACAACCGTATTATAGGAGCGGCGGTGGAAGAGTTGTGTGCGAGAACAAGCTGCGAGGAAGTGTAGAAAGAGAGCGCAGGATGCAGTAGCGTCGAAGTGAGATGTGAAGGGCAAGAAGAAAGTCAGGAATGGGCGATGAGCGTCTTCCGAAGTCCAAGCACGTTGTGCGACTGCATAAAAAGTGTGTGTGCGTAAGGGGATTGCAGCTCACTGTCTATCGGGGTTCGGAGGGCAGTGATAGTTGTACACGTCGGGTGTGAGGTGTGCCCCGACTGGGGGCGAATCTCGAGTAACAGCGGGCCTATTGGTTCAGCCTCCGTTCCAGCGGTCCGCTGGTGAGCCTTTGCGTCGGCAAGCACAAAAAACATGAATAGTTTTTGCCATTTTCAATGAACTTTTCGTGGTTGTGTGCATCTGACCACAGACTACCTTACACGTGTACTGCACTGAAAAACAGCTCTGTATTTGAACATGCTGCGTGCCACCGCCAGAGCGGTAAAACGGTGCAATCTTATACGGTGGTGGCAAAAAATATAGCTCATATTGGGTTTCTGAATTTCCAGCTTGAAGTATTTCTTTGTGCTCAAAAAAAGGGCCGCAGCACTGCTGGCACAGGCGAAGCTGACACCAATCCCGCTGTCCGTTTTGCAAAAGCTTTAATATATTCTGCGTTATGATAGAAAACGTGCAGAACCCCCGGCAAAACAGATAGTAACACTTGCAGTCAAACCCCGACAGAGCAGAAACTGTTTGCACGATTCCCGCGAAACTCAATCTATATAATCCTTATAAAGAGCGGCAAGCAAAAGGCTTCAATTGTAAAAGAACTGGGAGGTAGCTTCAACTCCAGCATGGCTCGCAAAAAGAGTCTCACAAACTTTGAGAAGGGACAAATTTTGGCTCGCCATTCAAACTGCTCGTCAGTTACAGCGATCGCCAGGGAGCTAGAACGCTCTAGGATGGTAGTCCATGCTTTTCTAAAGCAAGGAGCCCGGTACGGCATCAAGCAATGTCCAGGAAGACCCCGGAAACTAACTGACTCTTGTAAACTATTCGTGCCGCGTCAGAAGGAAACTTGAGCTCATCTTGTATCGTTAAGGCTCTACAAGTCCGAGTCCAAGTCCGTCGGGTCTGTGGGATAACTCCTCTGTGCCCTGAGTTGGGTGAGAGGCGGTACCCTTGTAGAGGGAGCACGCGACGCGGATGCGCGGCGCGAATAGATCCGATACGATCGAACTCGCGAAAAGAGAGAGGCTCACTGGCCGGTTACGCGCAGTCAACCCGTGGTGCGTAAACGGGAGCGACCGGTAACGGATTAGAAGCCAGTGCGCGGATAAACAACCGAACGGTCGTAGATTAGGCGCGAAGGAGACGGGGTCGAGCTTGCCCCAGTTTACTGGTGAGGACGGGTGTCCGGTCTTAACCCCTCAGAGAGACGCCTCGGACACCTGTCCCAGTACAGTAGTACAGTACCTGCCACCTACTGCGTGCCGGGTACTGGACACAATTAAAAAGCTAGCGCCATAATTACTACTACCGCTCGGACGCTGCTACTACACGTGTGCACTATTGTACACGCGTGTTGCTTACAGACTACGGCACGGACTACACGTGTGCTAACGCGCACACGTAATACGCGTAGACTATCGCACGGACAACACGTGTGCTACTGTACACGTGCGCCACGCCACGACCGGTCGGTACACGCGTGCGCTCCCTGCACGTGTCCACACCCACCCACGTGTGCTCCGTGCACAGCCGCTTGGTTAATAACCTCCGCGCGCGCGCGCCGGTCGTTATACTACAGGGTCCGTCAATTTCTGCAAAATATCTCGCATCTGCGGTACAAGCGCCTGCAAAGAACTCTAGCAATGCGAGAACGTCATGAAAACAACTACTGACATGGTGTATGGGGAAGATGACTTGCACGCACTGTCAGTGGGACAGAATCGTGTGGTTCGAAGAAAAACATTTACTTTTGACGGTTCCGACGGGCTGGCGAACCAATCGCATGATTTACGTGGAGAGAAGCAGTAGTTTTCGAACCACCACAGCGGAGGGGGCAGCGTCAAGGTTTGGGGTTGTTTCACAGGCTCGATAATGTCATCTCTAGTGATATTGAGCGTCAGTCAGAACGGCAACAAGTATTTCGACACATTACGAGAGCATTTAATTCCTTTTCTGGTGACTGTGGTATTACTACCTTCGTCCCGACCACTCGGAACGAGGGGGGTTAGAGGTAAGGGAGCGCGCGACGCTGGGTAACCCACGCCAGCGCGAACCGTACGGAAGGACTCGAAAAGAGGGAAGGCTCACGTGGCCGGTGACGCGCAGCCGGTCGGTGGTGTCAGATCCGGACGGCCGGTCACGGGTTAGAAGCCTGAACTAAAGGAAAACCGGAACGGTGTTAGCACTTAGCCGTAAAGGGAAGGGAGGCGAGTCTGCCTCTCGTTTACTGGAACGGGGCAGGTGCCCCCGGTCTTAACCCCTAAGTGGGACGCCAGGACACCTGTCCCTCTACAGTAGCTGTTACTTACTGTATACCAGCTACTGTGCTAAATTGGCTAATTTGTGCCATTAACTACTAATTACTAATTACTTACCGTTCGGATCCTACACGTGTAACCAGCGGGGTACCACTGTACTCCGCACTGGCCGTGTGCTGTAAATATAACTCCTTACAGTTATTCTCGCGCTTACAGCCCATCATACTGTATCCCGGGGCGGCAGCGGTGGTGCGATTGCCTTCGCGCCGTTGTACTACAGTGACCTTCTCCTTAATTGGACGTTTATGCAAGATGTAGCGCCTTGCTACCGGTCGTTGGTGGCAAAATCTTGGTTCAGAGACAACTTTATAAACGGTCTTGATTGCCCTGTCTACTCTCCGGACCTTAATCCAATCGCGTTTCTGTGGGGTATACTGGTCAGAAAGGTTTATGCCAATCAAGGGCAGTTTGAGGGCAGTAACTCTCTTGTGAACTGTATCGTCGTAGCTTGGAACAAGTTATCAACTAAAAGCTGGAGGCCTTGGTCAACTCTATGCAGAAACGCTGCGTAGATGTCGTACAAGCTAAAAATGTCTCTGCGATCGTCACAATTAGCATTTTCTCCAAGTGTTTCTACCTTTTAGCCGGGGGTTCTGTACGTTTTTTATCATAACGCAGAATATATTTAAGCTTTTGCGAAACGGACAGCTGGATTGGTGTCAGCGTCGATTGTGCCAGCAACATATGCATCTCTTTTCGAGCACAAAGAAATAATTCAAGCTGGACATTCAGAAACCCAACATGGGCTATATTTTGCCACCGCTGTATTAGAGGGCTTACGCAAAATCGAATTTCGTACAGAATTTCGCCGCCACGTACGAAACGTACTACCCGTGGCACTAGTGGCTTTATCGTACTAGATATCGTACGATAGTTGGTCACGAAATTTCGTACGATCGTCTTTCAACATGAACTTAACTCCGTACGTTCTGGTGGGAAATGTTGCCTGGTACAGAACAAAACCCCTCTGTGCCGTTAACATCTAGAGTCGTTTCAGGATATTCCAGGAAACCATCCATCATGGCTACAGTCATCACAGGCTCTCCGAAACCAGGTGAGGTTGCTAGGGAGCCCGCGATCACCACCCCTCAAACCACCGAACTACTTGACCTCTGGAGCCTCCTCCATTCGAAACCTCATACCCAAAACGGAAGGGCTTTCCATTTTCGGAAACATATGATATATTCATTCTCCGGGCCGTCCGCAGCGCAGACGCGCGTACTCTCGACCGCGGGATGGCCAAAACTTTGTACCAGGACGTTCTCAAGACATGTATGAAGCAGATACCCGCACCTCCACAAATCTCCGGTAAAACGTGGTCAGACTGCTTCAAGCGCCTTGTTTCTCATCGCCGTGCTTCTGTTAAACGGACTGCCTCTGCCTCGGTAATAATTGAAAAGAACGGGAGAAAGAGCAACTTCTTGATGATCTCATAATAAAAGTTGATGAGAAGGAAGAAATTGCAGGAGCGGAGAAAAATGAGCAAAACCTTCATGAAAAGCATTTCGTAGCTGCTGGAGAAACCATTCGCGGCATGGCTCTGAAACGAAAGAGCTCGAACGATGAACGGTATGGATCGGATCAAGTGGGTGATGAAGCAAAAAGTGCACCAAGCTCCGCAAACGAATTTGAGCGTTCACGTAACAGCGAGCT